AATATAATCCACTCTACAACCCTCATTGCATACTCCTACGATAAAAATAATGCCCTAAAATATAATACTTTTAGACTATATTTTTGATGATGAATATGACACTATTCTTCAATTTGTCATTTTCAGCATAGAAGATTATATGATTGTCTGATTCAAAATGTCCAATACCAGTCCAAACTCAGTATTATCTTGAAAATGAATTCTATTTCATTTTTTTAAGACTTCCAATTCTCCCAGATTCATATTTCATACATTTACATTCCAATTATTAGGTGGATGTTTACAGCTGCTGCTCCTCATTTTAAGTAGCTCCATGTCAACAGATGAGGGTTGGTGAGTGAAGGTTCATTGGATGGAAGCTTTGCTCCATCTCTAAATCATTAAGGGCAACTCTACTTTGGGGAGGCAGCTCTTTTAAAGTCATTTTTATAGACTTCCAATCAGAAAGCCTCACCTTTCATCACTGTATCAGGCAATGAAATGCTGATATTCACACAGTTTTCAAGGGCATCTTATGATTATATATTCAATCAATTTTCAGAATTCAGGTTCTAGTAGAAATCCTTGATCTATGGTTTCAGTTATTATTGTGTATATTTGAATAATAGTCACATTAACAGGTCTTGCTTGTTATGTATGGATATAGCTTCATTGAGAGCATTGAAAGTGAGTCCTTCTTAATGTCTGTTAGTCTGGAAGGTCTATTAGCCTGGAATCTCTTCACTCTAATGGTATTTGAAGAATCAGTGGCATAAATTCCAGAATCACAGGACCTACAAGCCATCATGGTATGACAGACTGACGATGAGTGTTGAAAGAAGAATTGTGAGAGGGTAACAAAGCAGCTTTCTGCATCTTCATGTTTCTGCCATGCTTTTAAATGGAAATTCTCTAGAGCAATCTAAAGCTCATGGGTCAAAAGAGAATAGTTTGAACTAAAATGGTTATAGTTTTATGACTCTTAGTTACCCTATGAATGACATATCTAAATCCTTTCCTATCCTGTGCCATCCTTATCATAACTGACACCCTTGACCGAAGGCATTGTGTCAATCCATCTTCCTCTCTCTCCCTAACCCTCCATCTTGCCCTCTCCATGATATATCCCTCTTCAAGGAAGAGCCTTTCCTAACAACATGTCCAAAGTGTATGAAATAAAGCTTTGTCATCCTTACCTCCAAGGAGCATTCTGACTGAACTTTCTCCAAGACTTACATGTTTATTCTTTTGGTAGTTCATGAAAAAGTCCATTCAGTACTCTTTTCTAACACCACAGCTCAACAGCATCAATTCTGAACAGGGATAGATTTTTAACTTAAATATCAATGTACAGGTAGGGTGCTCCTTAGAGGCAAGGATGGTGAGACTGTGCACCACATCCTTTGGGCAAGGGATCAGGAGGGACTAGTCTTGGGAAAGGAGGTCATGCTTAGAAAAGCGAAGTCAGAAAAGAAGAGGAGGTCCCTCAGTGAGGTGGGTCGATATAACAGTGGGCTTAAGCACAATGGAGATTGTGAGGATGATACAAGAGCAGACAAGGGTCTATTGCAGATAGTATCGCTCTAAATTGGAGTTGAATTGATTGTACCTAACAACCACCACAAATATGGTTCCAGAAGGTTTATTGTTTGTTGTTGTAGTGTGCCATCAAGTTATCTGTGACTCACTGTGACCCTATGCACAGTAACTCTGAAACCCTGCCCTATCCTGAGCCAATCTCACTGTCTCCAACATATATGCCCCTACTGGTAATTGTGAATTTAGGACATTATTACCAAAACTAGTAAGGACTCCTTCAAATTATCCTGTCCAAATTCTCCTGCTCCAGTAAGATTTGACTCTGAGAAATCTTAATCAGAGACACTTATTTCTTGTTCTTAAACATTTTTTCTTATGTATTTTCCTTTCCCACAATGATAGCTGATTGTCTAAAGAATAACTTCAAGGATCCTGTAAAATGGCTCATTTGTATGAGTAAGAAATAAGGGAATTGGAGAAAAGAGCACTATGTACTGGGAAAACTCCCAAAGGCATGTCTACTACTTATTTGAGTGGTCTACACTCTAGAATTGCCGAGGAACTGATGAATTACTGCATACAAACACATTAGAGAAAATGAAAAACCTCTCCAATATCATTACCATCATGACCTCATTTCTACTTTCCTTCTCTTTGTGTTCTTTTCAGAGTCCCTCCTGAACCTCTCCATCTGGCATCCAAACCAGTCAACCACCAGGAGAGAGATCCTCAGCCACATGCAGAAAATGGCTCTGTTCAAACTTCAAAGCTACTGGCTTCCCAATTTTTATGCCCATGCCAAAACCAACATAGCCAAGGAGCAAAAGTGTCAAGGTCTGATGCAAGAATTTGAGACTCGTCTTTGCAGTGTTTGCTACTCCCACATAGGAAACCTCCCTCTGATCATGAGCATCAAGAAACACCACTGCCCTCAAAAGTGGTACTCAAGCAAGAAGAGCAAGAGGAAGATGTGGCAGTTGATAGACCAGAGCTCTTGGTCTTTGGATATGGAGCTGCCACCTATTTCTTTGAGGCAAGATACTACCAGTATGGCCCTACAGGAGATGCATCCTCAGAAGAAGGTTATAAAACTCTCTTCCATAACTGTATCACATTCAAAAGATAAAATTATTAATTCCTTGAAGCATGATACTTGTACTAGGAAGTCTTTCACAAAGAAGAAAAACAAAAGCCACATGGAGATGGAGGGAGTCTTTGAGACTAAGTTCACAACCCACCTGAGAACAGTCACCCCCATCATCAATCACTCTTTCCAGATGAAGCTGAAGAAGGCTGTTAAGCAAAGCCTCTCCTTGGGGTACACCTCTTGGGCCTTATGTGCTGACACTTATGCAGGGAATCCCTTCAGGGACTACTTGAAGAAGAAGAATTTGACAATGGAAACTCTACTCCTGGACCTGTGGCAGGACCTTCACCATTTTCTCAATGTCCTAATGAGTAACAGAAAGAATGGGAATGCTGTGTTTCGGCACATGTTGGGTGACAGAATTTGTAAGCTCTACCTGAATGAGCAAATTGAGTCATGTTTACCACTCAAATCTCAAACTATTCAGGGCCTGAAGAAGCTACTGCCTTTGGGAGATGTGAATCCTTGGATTCCAAGAGCTCAGAAAGAGATCTGCAAGGTAGGTCATGTGTCACCGAAGCAGGTTATTGCCTGGCCAATTATGTCAAGAATGATAAAAAACCTATCTTGTCAAGTACACGGACTAAATTGACTATAGAATTACCCACATAATCCTTCACAAATTGAAGAACTGGTTGATTGCTTAGGAACATTGTTGAGTACTGTACAGTTGGAACCAACCTATAGCTAACATTCCAATGGGTCTTCAGAGGCAGTTAATTGCATGGGAGGAGATTGCCCATCCTTCTCCTTCAGAGCAGCTGGTGGTCTTGAACTATGTCTTCAGGATTACAGTGCAGCTACCTGCCACTAGACTACCAGATCTCCCCTTCTTAGGAATGTTGTTGTTATGTTCTGTCGAGTCACCCATAGCGATCCTATGTACAGCAGTTCAAAAGCTTGCCCTGTCCTAAGCCAGTCTCACTGATTCCATTACACCTATCCACATTGCCCCAGTTACTGTATCATTCATTCATCTCATCCGGGGTCTTCCTCTCCTGCATTGTCCCCCATGATGTCCTTCTCAAAGGACTGGTCCCTCCTGGCTACATGCCAAAATAATGAGACAGAACTTCAGAATTCTAGCCTTCAAGGAGAAAATTGGTTTAACCATCTCCAAGACAGATCTATTTGTTTTATTGGCAGTCCATGGTATGTTCAAGACTCTTCTCCAGCACTATAACTCAAAGGAGCAAATGGGGGGGGGGAGGGGGGAGGGGTTTGTGTGGGGAGAAGGGTGCAACAATGAATGAATGGAATTCCAAAATCTCTGTAGATGTTCATTGAAATGAAAAATAAACAACCTAAATTAAAAAAAAAAGGCATCAATTCTTCTGTCATCCTTAGTCCAGATCTCTAATGCATAGCAAGTAATTGCAAAGACCATAGGCTGGATCAGGTGCACCTTAGTTTCTAGATTGACATTATTGATTTTCAGTACTGTGGAGAGGTATCTGACAGAAGGTCATCACAATGCAATTCATCTTTTGATTTCCTGACTACTGGTGCCAAGAATGTTGATTGTGGAGCCGAGCAAGATGTAATCATTAACAACCTTCATCTCTTCTCTATCCATAATGGTGCTGCTAATTGGCCCAGTGGTGAGAATCTTTGTCTTCTTGATGTTGAGCTTGAATCCACATTGAAGACTGCAGTCCTTGACCTTCTGCAGCAAGAACTTCAGGTCTTCCTTGGTTTCAGCAAGCATAGTTGTGTCATCAGCATAATATAGGTTGTTGATGAGTCTTCCTCCAATCCTGATGCCACATACCTCCTCATAAAGCCCAACTTCCTGAATGATCTGTTCTACATATAGATTGAAAAGGTATGGAGAGAGGGTGCATCCCTGATGTACTCCTTTCCTGATTTTGAACCATGCAATGTTTCCTTGCTCTGTTCTGAGGATTGCTTCCTGGTCCAAGTATACTATAGACTATATTATAAACCTGTAGGTTTTTCATAAGCACAATCAAATGTTCGGGGAATAGGCCAAGCAAATTCCCCAAGAACAAGCCAAAACTCCAATGTAGAATGAAATGATCTGGGGTGAGGGGTGGTGCTAACCAATATATACTTTCTCTTTCTTTTCTATTCTTCCTTACATGAAATTATAAAATTCAGAGTTTCATTGAAGGACATGTTAAGAACATTGTTAAAAGAATTGTGCATTAAAATTCAGAGTCTGCTTTCCTTGATTAGTCATCAAGGAATGGCTTATTGGAATTAATTTATTCTTATCTCAAAGTATTAGATACTTTTGCATGGAAATGCCCTGAAGACTTTTAGCAAGTAAGATCCATAGCATTGAGGGGACTATTGTGACTGGGTGAGTTTAAATGTAAGGGACCCTGGTGGAAAAAGAGCATGACATGTCAAGCTGCTAGCCAAAAGGTCAGTTGTTCGAACCCACTGACTGATTCAAGCCTGGCTGCTCCTGCTGCATGTAGTGCACAAGTAAGACACTTGCCGAGCTCAGACTATCACTTTCTCAATTCATCTTTTCTGTGAGACCTTTCTGAGTCACTTTATATTTCAACTGATCAGAAATATTTTAAAAATACAAAAAGCAAAGTTAAACCCCAAGCTCACTGCCTTTGAGTTGGTATCAATTTATAGTAACCTTCCATTAGGTTTCTAAGACTACTAATCTTTAAAGAATA